TGTCACGCCCACTGGCACGATAAATGACATGACATGTGTTAAAAGAGGAGCTTACTTGATGTCAAAGCAAAAGCGTGGAAATTAAAGCGCGTGTCGGCCAATGATTGATCGGAGAACATCATTGTCTGATCAAGTCAAACAAACCTAGAGCAAGTGAGGCACTTTCTAGGAGATTCTCTACTGAAAATAGACCGCTTATGTAATTCACGTGTATTCTTAGTTGCCCCAGTCTCCCAAAGTCAAATAAGTATAGAAACTTGAGATTTTCGGAATCGGTTTAAAACAAATTTGTTTCAAAACCATTGGTACTTATTATAGTCCAGAATGTACTTTAATTCTAACATAGATTCTGAAATGTACAAGAATTTTGATTTTAAACCAGAGACTTAAGTACTAGTAAAACTTTAGAAACTCAGGAATTTAATATCCCAACTAATTCTAGCTACGCCGTTGTTCCATACAGCAGAAAACGGTTTAATAAATGGTTGACGTCATTGCAAGCCTTACTTCTGCTAAAGGTCAAAATAGGTATAGGTACTCTTTGTCTTTACTGAATCTTAAATTTAAAGATGTTACAACAAAAGGTTACCCTGAAGCTCATGATCTCCAAGTCCTATACCCGAAAACTGATCGTTTTAAAGATCGATTGTGTTTGCAGAGATATGCAATACATACACTTACACTATTCCAACTGCTTACAACGATATCTTTATATCATCCCAAATTGTACCTACCTTTGCTGCGTATCAATTTCTTGATAATTTAGGGCAGTGTCGAATTTGTAGTTTTTTTCAATCTATACATCGAAGATGCGATCAACATCATTAAAGATAGTACAACTGTAGGGATAAATATAGAGGGGCTTAGATTTGCAGATGAAATAGCAGTATAAGCAGTATGAATTGGAGATAGCTTTAAATAAAATGGAAGCGGTATTAACAAAATAGTATTGTGTGAAAATAAATAATAGTAGAGCAAAAATACTGGTATGTAAGAGAAAAAAAAGTAGGGAAAGAGCGAATATAAAGATAGAGAAATCAGATAACTCATAACGGAAGGAGTAGTAGGGATATAATACAAAGGATAGCGCAGGATTGAGTCGCCTTTAATAAAAAGAAGAATTCACTTATGCTCGCGAACGGTTAATTTAGAAATTCGAAAAATATTATTAAAGGTGCATGTTTGGAGCCCGGCGCTGTACTGGTGCAAAACATGGACAGTGGGTGCGGCGGAAAAGAAAAAGAAGCGATCGAAATGTGATTTTACAGGCGAATGATGAATATACTGTGGATAGAGAGTTAGGAGGGGTAGAGGTAGACCTACATTAGATTACTGTTCGCAGATAGTTAAGGATATGGCTTGTTCTAGTTTTAGAGAAATACTAAGATTAGCTCAGGATAGGAAAGAGTGGAGGTACGTGTCCAACCAGTCTTAGGACTGATAACCTTATGATGATGACATGGTGAACTGATGTTCCCCTGATTCGGGTGTAAAAACGAGCTTTTTTAGTGGCTTTTCCAGCATCGCAGATTGAAACTCGACACTCGTGTTAGCGAAACGTTAGGCAACTAACGACGGCCTTTAGATCCAAATCACGACATCATCAGTTCACCTGTACTGGCCGCAAAAGCCTTAACATTATGTTATTTTAAGATTCTTTTTAATACCAAATGCATGGATATTGAAGGCATCAATAGATTTTGCATTTCCTTGTGGCTACTGTCTCTATCGTCGTAGGTATTTTCTGTTTCAAAAAATTTACCATGCATCTTTTCAATTTAATGGTACGCACTGACTGTAGGTACAAGTATGTTTAAAGAATTTCGTTTGTGCAATTCCAATTAAATTAATAGTATCCCAAAAGAACTTGAGAGGCAAACTCTTCTGGCAATGGCCTCTGTCTCAGAAGCAATGATTGCTTGTAAGAGCACTCAGAAAAATCCCAAAAGCATAATCAACGAGTATGTTGAAACAGATTCTTAAAACCTCAAACAAGCAATAAAACCTTTAAAGTAAGTTCGCATAAAGATTGATTTGCCATTTAAATTGAAGACATTTTCTTCCCTATTTAGCGTTCTCAATCAGGAGGTTGGAAGTTGGAAAAAAAACGCAAATCAGTAACGAAACCGCAAGTACCGCGTCGGCATTTAGTAAGCACGCTAAATGACGACGTTCTCGACAAATAGGTATAGGCATAGAATGCAAGCGACTTGGTTAATTTCAGCTAATTAGCCATCAGCGGGTAAGGAATGGGACTGTGGGTAAATTCAGCCACGGTCAAAATGCCACCACATTATGTACCTATATCTACTCTAAGATAACCAAGCCTGCAAAAATAAATTTTTCGCTTGGCGGTTGTATTTTAAGTCAAGGTACACGGAGAAAACTAAATTTTTCTGACAACGCGAAGAATTTATTAGGTAACTTGTAGTAATCTAAATTTTGACATGTCTTTTTTTTAATTATTACAATTTAATTTGTAATATCAACTAAAAATACCTAGTAAATTTATTTCTGCTGGGATTTTATTTTTACAAATTTGGGTCCAAATTGTAATTTTTATTATTTCCGCTTGCGAAACAATGGGCTAGTGCGATAAATTGTAAATATCGCTTTAATATTTAGGAAAATTTTCGTTTTTCATTTTCTCCATGTAGGAGGTCGCACTGGACTATTGACATCATCTTGTTTTATTATGAATATCATTATTGTCTTGTTTTAAATCCTAATATTACTGAGCAGTATAGATACAGAAAAAGATAAATCTAAAATAAGGATTGCTACACAAGGCGGAAAGGTCAGACTCTGTCATATCATCTTGAAAGTCAGGATTTGGAGAGAATAAACCCTTTACCTCATGAGAAAATACGTGCCATTGAACTATCGAAAGAAAAATAAGGAAACCTCAAAAAGATATGGTCAGGAAACAATTCAGTTCAGCAAAATTTATGTTGGTAATCCAAAATTCACCCCATATGGGGACCATGGTATAGTTTGCTAGATGGTTCTACCAAACGTTTCGTCATTCGGATGACATCTTCAGTGGCTTGCTATCGAATAGGTGGTCGAAATACTCTACTCGAAATTGGTTGAACGTCGGTCCCAGTAATACCAACAGTACTTATAGCCTTTGACTATAGCGTGCTGATGAGAATAAATATATTCGAAATCGTTATTACGTCTAGTAGTTTCAATAAATTGCTGACCTAAGTAATTCATCTTATAATATATATTAGCAATTAAGGATAGTATTTTAATTGCAAAGCAGAGGTAAATATGTGTCAAAATTTTCTCAAATCTAACGTTAAATTTTCATGATATCTGGTGTCCACGATTTTACCTAATATGATTAATAAATTTTGACGATAATTCGTAGCAATTAAAAATAGTCGTCGAACATAAACATCTGTAGTAGTATAATGGCTGACCGTGGCTCAAAACATTTACATCCGAGGAACGGCGTTAAAAAGTCGTGATTAAAATTGGACTCTGCATTCCCTATAATCATAGATTAATACCTGGAAAGCTTTTAATCCGTTCTGGTTGTTTATTCGTTAATTGGTTTCGAGAAAAGCGCCTCAAACGACTTGCTGAGGATGATTATTAAAAATGTGCTACACAATTTGCTTGCAATTTTGTGTAACGCATTTCCGATTTATTCAACGGAAAAGACTCTTCTACAACTACTCTTTTTATTTTCACATACCTGCTGGCTAATTATGATATCTATCATAAGCATAATCGACGTACGCTGATTTTGTCTAAAACCTATGTTATGTTACATTGGATTAAAGTACACTTTTTCAGTCATCATCATCATCGCAAGGTCGTCACTTCTAAGAATGGTTGGACACGCACCTCTACCCCTTCATATCCTGAGCTAATCATCGCATTTCCCTAAAACTAAAACAACCCACATATCCTTAACTATTTGCGAACAGTAATCTAATCTAGGTCTACCTCTACTCGTCTTAACTTTTGTTTACAAATAATTGCATAACTAAATGTCTACCATCTACTGCTACTTGCAGTGAAAAGACACACTGATTAATTAATATAATTCTCGTATTCCTTATTTTTAATTACTGAATGATTAAAAATCGGATTTAACAAGGACGATCCTGTTCGATCCTGTTCGTTTCTTGGAACATTTTCCAAAAAGCATTTGAACCGTATATAATTATTATAATCCACAAAGATAATTCATGGAAGTTAAGAAAATATGAGATATACTAGACTTTACTGGCAGCTTCGCTTGCATACTTGTCAAAGATAATCGACGACCACATAAAATTAATTTTTCCATGTCTCGGAAACAGTTTTCTTTTTTTGGATAACCCTATGTCCTTTCCTGTACCTCTGACAATGTGTATACAATAGTTTATGATAGGTTTTGTCTTCGGCTTCGCTATCGTTGATATCCTAAATACGTGTAAAAAGTCATCAACGACCACATAAAACTATTTTTTTCTATGCCTCGGGTACAGTATCTTTTTTCAGGATAAAAGGTACAATATGTCTTTTTCTGCACCCCTGACAATGTGTACACAAAATATTACTATGATCGAATGAGTAGTGAAGTGATAGTAACAGAATAAGCAAATAAACAAACTCAAATTTGCATTTACAATATTCAATTACTAGCGTAACGATTGATGAAATATCGTTTTAATTGGCAATCCTGATTCATAGATTTTGTTTTGTTTGCCTGAGTGCTGTTTGCAGACGATGATTTTAGTGAAAGGTGCATGTCGTGTCATATCGCCGTTGTGCTCGAAGTAAGTAGTAAGTGTACTGAGAAAAATAATGAGAGAAGATAGTAATTATTACGACAAGTCCCCACTCCCTTTGTCGGCATCGGCGTGTGGAGAAGCCCCCTCCGCGTATAATTGCCCCACGTCCCGCCGACCACCCCATCATCCAACAACAGCAGCTTCAGCGCTCACACCCCATCACTAAATCTGACACTGATTCTTCCGGCTGCCGCGAATCTACCGACTCTTGTTCTTCTTATTGTTGTTATAGTGGTACCGGCGGCGTCGGTCAACAACTATTTCCGGCCGTTTCCGGGTTGACTATCCACAAAGGACACGAGCGCGCTCCTACCAACCTACCGTTGTCCTTTGAACTGGAAAAACCGATCGGGTGCTCCGCAACCCACCGAGCATAATCCTTTTTGTAATTCAATTAGGCTATCTCACAGTTTGTCGCCTTGTGATGGTAATTTTTTTATCGTCTTCTACACAATTAGAACGTGTAATGGGATAGACGCGAAGTGAATAAAATTTGTTTGGTTTTCATTTCGGGCCACTTTGAAAGTTAATAAGTGCGAAATTGAAGGTCAGTTGTGACTTTTTTTAATATAGAGCACCGTTTATGTCGGTGCAATGCGCTGATGAGAATGATCCTTTATCCTTGGGCAATCCTTCCAGCTGTCTATTTTCTGTTAATAGGGTAAGTAACTTACTTAAAATTTTGTCCTACAGTTTCAATTTTTAATCATAATTACCGATTCTTTTATTCTTGTTAAGAATTTTAAGACACAACTACAAAATTTGCGTACGCATCAACGTACGTATATATTTGCTTAATGTGTAACCCTACATATCCTGTTTATTTCAATACGATTTAAAAAATTAGGAAGTGGATTATTATGCATTGTAAACATTGACTCGATTTTCTGATATTTATTGCTGATCTTCATTATTATTACATAAATTTAACTACAGGACAAAAACTAATTGATAATAATTTTTTTTCAGATAAAAATACAACAATAAAGTACACTCTGAATATGTCAATATAAATATAAAAATATAAAATTATCATGCGAACGTCGCAGTTAAATAAGAATTTCACATTTGTTAGCATTCAATATTATTGATGTTAAAGGACGATCATGTTACAGAAGGATTACATCATCTATTCCTATTAAAACGTCTCAGCTTAAAATAGCGGTTGTTTTTTAAATCATTCTGTCACAATCACTTTCAATTCATGAGCAATTTATATTAACCAAAACTTTTTGCTACCTATTCGGTTTTTAAAAAAGAAGTTGCTTATTTAATTGCTGAAGTGGGCAGAACAAAAGAGATCATTGTTTTACAACCCAGCCTGTTAAAAAATGCAAATTTATTAAAATTTCAGTTATTTATTACCCTCCTAATTCGAACGAATATTTTAACGAACAAGGAAGTCATCAAGCTAATTTTCATTATTTACTATCGTCGCAAAATACACTTTGACTTTTTTATCCTTATGTATAAACAAACTAGCAGAAGAAAATGTTTATCTACGTACATATATGTACCTATATAGGTAACTAAATCAATTTCTGTCTGCTGTTATAGATGTAAAGCAAAAATAAGTATTAGGTATATATTTTGGATAATTGCATATTATAAATGAGTTGCTTGCATAATAATTTTCCTGCCTGTTGATTATTTACTGTTTACACACAATTACTCAACCAGGAATTAATTAATAATTAATAATAGACAGCCGCAATAAAACATTACTGCAATTCAACTGAAATAGGGGCAAATTTCCTTTTACTTCTTGTTGAAATAATTTTCATAAAATTGAAAAATTGAAAACAATGTCAATTGGAGGAAAGGTGTATGACTAATCAAATAATCAGTCGTTTAATATAATATTTATTCTCAGCTAAAACCATACCTATTCGTATACTTCAATTTTAATTAATTAATTGGTTGTTAAGTACTGTAACTTACCTGCGCATTGTTATATTTACTAAACGGTGCACGGTGGAGAAGTACTATCCCTAAAAATCGTCTACGTAGCAAGTAATGTCTTATCATTGGGGAAAGGCGGAGTCCACAATTTTCTTATTTTTTTTTGTTATGAAAAAGGGGATCTAAATTCATTGAAATTATATAACAAATAAGTGAAAGCTCTCTTAGACTAGGTAGGCACCAAAATCACTGGGGCTAATGGTTTCTGTCTCCGTTCTGATGAGTTTTCCATTAAATACCACCCTCAACCACGTCCCAAGCCACATTGAGTCCTTTTCAAAGGTTGTTAAAATACTTAACCAATTTTGATTCTTGGTTGACGGATTTTCAACGAGAGGGTTAAGTTAAAACCGATGAAACGAGGGTACCCGGCATCATCATTTGGTACCCGGCCGGAACCTAAAAAAATATGCCGGATCCACCGGGTACCAGATCCAAACCGAGTACGTGACCCATCTCTACCATAAATCTTGAGTTTGTCACTAATGACCGTTTAAATTTGCCCAAAATTAAAAATTGTATGTAATTACAATCAAAAACCCCTATAGACCTTTTCTACCCACAAAATAAAATAAAAGGGATTTCAATTCGAAGTTCTTGGATATTATCTAGGTACATAAGAGATAGTTGTACAATGTTTACCTATAAAACTTAAAAATCGGTAAGAGTTTTCTGGTTAAAATCAAATTTGATGGTAAGTATTTAAGATACACCTATATCTAATTGCTTCCTTATCACCAGTTTCGATACGTATCAGTTTAGCGTACGAAAAACTTCACCAGAATAGTAGTTACTTTTAGATAACTTTGAAAAGTCAAAAGATCTAGTTTTTTGGGATGTTTATTTTAATCAAGGTATCAAATCTATCATTTTAATCGATCGTAATCCATTTACCTAACAAACAGTGCGTGGCACTTTTCTCAATTTTCTGCATTTTTTTTATAATGTAAAGGAATGTAGTCTTTTCCATTACACCTAAATTGCAGAACCAACACCAACGTTACTGGAAAAATTTATCAACTACCTAGTTATGTACATTAATTATATGCAATGTTCTCATACGACATCGTCTACAGCAAAAGAACTGTTGACATTGAAACACACCCTGATAAAGGTTTTGCAACAAAATGCGAAACGTTTGTTTTGGTTTACTAAACAAACTTTTTTTTGATCCTGATCGTGACTTCGATTGTATTTTATACTAATAAATAAATATCGCTTTTGAGTTTTACTAGTTTTTATGAATAAACGATTTATTTGAATATTTAAAAAATAGTCAATTCTACATAGGTAGATAGATAAGAAAAATGAAGCATACCGTTAGAAATAAAATTGATTTTCCTTCAAGCAGGTATAACTACTTGTACTAAACAAACCAATTAATTAATCGGCACCACATTATTCCGAAAATATTTGTATAAACTAAATGGGAAAATACTTAATCATTGGTTCGAATTGCTTAATCATTATATGGAAGCGCTGGTTGGTACTATCCATGTATAAAAAAAAAGCAAACTACATCAATGAGAAGTACACCTTTTATCCGGAGGTGCCAAATGTTTGAATTCTTGTTCGAAATTTATTGCTTCGCTAATTGAAAGCCATTTAAAACAAAGGCGAAATTTATGGTTTAAGGTGTATCGGTGTCCATGTGAATGTATAAATGTTAATACAGAAAAAACGTACTCTAACAATACACCTTTGTAAGCCGTATGCTCGAGCATTGTTGTAAAAAGTAAAAGCGACCAGGTACAAACATGTAAGCAAACAGTTCCGTTTAGTAATAAATGTCGGCGATAACTTTTTAGCAAGGTTTTAAGGCTATTTTTCCTACTTTCGAGTTTTTCATACCTGCCTACACTTTTGTAATAACTACCGCATTAAACACATGATAATTATGATGGGTCATCAAATTTTGTTCTGTTCTTTTTATTACTTTTTTGAAGAATCAACAACATTACTGTTCTAGTTAGCTATGATTAAAGGTATTTGTGATCGTAGAGGCATACAAAAAGTTATTGACGTGTATATGTACACAGGGTGTTACTTCAATGTGGTTTTGTGAAGATATTTATACATAGATTAAAAAATAGATTAAAATTTATAAGCGAATAGAGAAATTGTTCAAAATGCTTGGAACACAAGCTTCCAATCGGAAAATCATTGATTGTCGAATTCGTCATTTAAAAATTCTGGAACTGAATAGATACGTAATTTGAAAATAATGGTATTCATTTGGTGTGAATTTGTTAAGGGAAATTGCCTCTAGCCTTTAGTTTAATTCGCATCTTCACGGAGAAAACTAAATTTTTATGACAACGCAAAAATTACAATTTTCGATTGTAAATAATTGAATTTGACATATAAATAGTAGAATTTAAGTTACCTGAATTTGTAATAATTTGAATTTTGACACCTTTCTTTAAAAACTATTTGTGCTGGGATTTTATTTTCACAAATTCGAGCCCAAATTGTAATTTTTACTGTTTTCACTTACGGAGCAACGGGCTAGTGGGATAGATTGTAAATATCTCTTTAATATTTAGGTAAATTCTCGTTTTTCATTTTCTCAATAATTTAACTAATAATGTTTTTTATCTATATCTGTTTTATTATTAATGTTAGATATTTTTAATAAAAAACATTGAATAGCCAGTTAAAGATATGAAATTATAAATAAACCTAACCTGAACACCGAAACCTCACATGCGAAAAGGTTACGACATACTACTTTTTTATTACTTTTTAATTGCATATACTTTAATCATTCGGGCGGGATTAACTAAAATATTTTTAGATATGAATTTATATGGTCTTTATTAAGACAAATAAATAAACAATTCTTTTCTATAAATTTCTAAAAATTAGAGAATAGGAACAGTGGTAATAAAATAGTAAAATAAATGAAAATGTCGAAAACTGACTTAGGAAAATCAGTAGTGGAGATGAGTTTTCACCCAGTGATGACCAGTTTCAGAGTGAAGACCTTGTCAAAATCGAGTACTTTTAGTTTTCCCCCTTCACATTTCAAGGTGTTAACTGATAGGTACAAAAACATGGGGGCTAGTAAGATCAATTTTGTTATAATATGCCAATCAAATTTCTAAGCCATATGGTTTCTGAGAAAATGGGCTGTAAATGGGTGGTGATACAAGGCTTTCGTTTCCCTTTTCAGGCATGGAACTTTAAAATTAATTCATAATTTTAAATTCTTCAGAACTCATTATCATCTTTGACTTTTAGGGTTAATATTATCAATACAAAAAATGGCGAATGCGACGGGTATATTAATAACTCTTGTATGTTTAGGCATTTGGACAAGGCAACAATGAATTTATTTATTGTTTTTGAGTTTTCTGCAGATATAAACACATGTACCTTTCATTTGATACCATACATGAAACTCACGTAATGCTCATTCTTATATACTCCTATGGTATACGTTTTGATAACGCACGCTTGAACCGTGTGACCAGTTGTTCCGCAACCTTTTTTAATGAACGTAGAATACTAAGACCTCTAACCACGGTTTACGCGATAATATATATGTATCTATAGTTACGTAATTTTCTTGATTGAAATTGTAACTTTATCTATTCATAATTTACAATTTTTCTACTAAAACGTTTAAGTTCCTGGTAAGTAATCTTTATTTGACATTTAAGCGAATTAAAGACGTGGGTTTAATTGGTAATGTATTTTTCCTCCAAAAGTTCATATATTTATTTGAATTCTAATATTGTTTTTCCTTTTTTTTTTAATTGTACCTAATACTTATGAAAATGCCACGAAATACTCACCCTTATATACCCTCGTAGTATAAGTTTTGACAACGTATGCTTGAAGCGTGTGACCAGTTGTTCCGCAAGCTTTTTTAACAAACGTAGAATACTAAAACCTCGACCTACGGCTTACGTGCTAATATAGACGTAATTTTCTTGATTTAAATTGTAACTTTATCTATATAACTGCCATTGAACTTATTAGAAAATTATTTAAGGGTTCATAATTTACAATTTTTCTACCAAAACGTTTATGTTTCTGTTAAGTAACCTTAATTTGACATTTAAATGCATTTAAGACACGGAATGAAGGTTTCATTGTTAATGTATTTTTCCTACAAATATTCATATATTTATTTGAATTCTAATATTGTTTTTCCTTTTCCTTTATTGGTGCCTAACAAAATTGCTTTTCTAAAATAAGTCATTTAAATACAATCCAACACATGCACGGGCAATTTTAATTCGGTTACTCGAAGGAAGGTCTACTGATTAATTGGTCCATTAGAGAAACCCGAAGAATTTCGAAATGCCAAAGTAACTGATGACTCAAATTAACAAATAAACATCTACATTGTCGCGATTAATACTGAAAGAAAGCAGCTTGTCGAGGCATTCTGCTTTTGGTGAAGTAATTGCTCTTAATTTATCATATGTCAACCAGCACTTTTGTCGAAAAGATTATCTTTCAGATTAGCTAAAAAAATATACCTATACAAATAATATTTACAACTATACCCACAAAATCCATTTAATGAAATTTTCATCGTCACCGTATGATTTTCCTGTAATCAAATCTAAACACTGCATTTATCGAAATGGTCAACTTTTGAAAATCGCTCATTTACCTTTGAGAGTAATCCTAAAAATTGTATATTTGAAGCACTATTAGGTCAGAAACGTTCGAAATGTGGTGTTACAGGCGAATGATGAGGATACTGTGGATAGGGAAGGTTAGAAATGAAGAGGTATTAGAAAGAGTAGGAGAACAGAGGAAAATCAATAAGAAACAGGGGAGATAGGTTAATAGGACACCCTCTCAGGCATGAAGGTCTAGTCAGAGACATGTTGGAGGCGGAAACGGAAGTTAGCAGGGGTAGAGGTAGACCTAGATTAGATTACTCTTCGCAAATAGTTAAAGATGTGGGATGTTCTAGTTTTAGGGAAATGCGAAGATTAGCTCAGGATAGGAAAGAGTGGAGGTACGTGTCCAACCAGTCCTAGGACTGACGACTTTATGATGATGATATTATTTAAACAATTGAAACACTAATACATTCCTTATTGTTACAATGTGAACCACACTTTAATTGTTTCTCTTATATGTTTAATTAACAAAATCTCTGTTTTTTTTACGCAGAAAACCTTTTAGCCCGACTTCTTTATTCTATGATAGATTGCCCGACATATCAGGTTCTTTATCAATAATACTTTCGAATGCTTGCCATAGTAGTCAGAGAAATAATCGTGATCTTCGGTTAATTAGTACAAGGAACAAAGAAAATCGAATGATTTGTTGGTATGTGATGTATTTTATTCGCTCTCACTGTTTCCCACGCGTGTCCACACATTTTACACGTTGGCATACCAACCTACCTCCGTGGTATGGTCTACATGCTCCTTTGGCAACGACGCACGTCGCGTCGCCGTTGTCGTCGTCGAGATAGTCCACATACCATCGCAGAGAAACTAAAAGGTCGCTTATTCGTTGGAAAGGACTCCAAACATTGTTTTCATTCGAAAAATTTCCGGAAAATGCCACCGGCTAGTTAACAAAAGAATGCGCTGACAATCGAACCCGAATGTTTTGAATAATTAACACAAATTAAATAGTTACTAATGAATTGAAATTCGATTATTATCGACTATATTATCCACGTACGACAAAAGAAATATGAAGCAACCTGAAGACCACCACCTCTACATTTTCTTTCTCTAATACTAACATTAATTTTGTTAGCGCTATGTTAATGTTTAGTCAGTGTTATCCGATGACATCCCCACATTGTGTGATTCCTTAACTATAAATAATCATCATTACAAGGTCAGCAGTTCGAACACTGACCTCTACTCCTTCTTATCCTGAGCTAATCTTCGCATTTCCCAAAACCTTTTTCGATTTTCCATTGAATCTACAGATAGTAAATAATTAACACTCTATAACTTAAACGAATAATTTGGGCATCGCAACTCAGTAAGCAGTGAAAAGTGGTTTGAATCGGGAGAAAGTAAAAGACGAAGAATTGCTGAATTTCCTAATTTAGAAAGATGCTTGTTTTTTACATGGTTTATACAGTGTAGAAATAAAACATTAGTATTAATGGACCTATACTAAAGGAAAAAGCTGAAAAGTTTGCTAAATCACTGGAAATCCATAATTTTAAGGCTTAAACTTAAACCCTTAGTAAGTAAAAGCTCAATAACTCAAACTATTTTACGTTTCCCTTGGTCTTTATCTTATCGAGATTCTACTGTATTTTCATGTTTGCTGTAATCGACAAAAATGCTTTCGCAAAGTATAAAATGATATAATTTTGTTACAGAGTACGATCGAAGATTGCACATTCGCCAGACAATTATTATATTTCGAAACAATCGACGCTTTCATCGGCGTTTCGAGACACTACCGTATGCCGAACTATACCTGGATTAACAAAAGCTCAGGTAGAACTGTGTTATAGGCAACCAGACACTACGGAGATGGCTTTGCAAGGACTAGAACAATCTGTAAAGGAATGTCAACAGCAGTTTGCTACCCATCGATGGAATTGTTCAATTTCCACCAAATCGAGGAATCCTCATACCAGTGTCATGTTCCAGAAGGGTATGCAATAACTACTTTTTTTGGGTTTTGTCTAGTGATGAGCAAAGCAAGGCAAGACCAAGACTATCCCAGTCTTGGTATTGGTTTTCGTCTTGCTTATTCGGTCTTGATCCCGCGTGTTAATTCTTGGTTTTGCTCATTTAATCTGATATTTAAGTTTTTTTAATAATCCTTCTAAGCACAAACTTTTATTTATATTTAGCACAATAATTGTGTAAGATGCTGAAATTTTCTGTCAACATGAGAAGTTGTCATTACCTAAAGAAAATGTCGATAGTTATGAGAGTTTTGAAAACTCGGGAACTTACCCCTCTTCCATTGCATAAATTAACCCTTCCCCTTGAAACCCTACTTGATATAAGCAAAAAAGATCGAAAAGAAAATTGATCTGTCTCTATATTTTAACCATGTGTTAGGACAAAGAACACTTAACTCGAAGGAAATTCTTGTATAGATTCCTTTTCTGAAATAGTGGTAAAGTTTCTTTTTTTCATGTTAAGTGTTTCAAAAAAAGAAGGTATTAAAGTTGTTTCAGATTGTTTAACTCATAAATCCACCGGGAGTAAAAATTTTTTATTTAGTCTTGCGTATTTGGTCTTGGTGTTACATATTCAGTCTTGGTTTTAGTCTCGATATTGTACGAGCGCTCTTGATCTTGGTCATGCTAGTATAAAGACAGTCTTGTTCTTACTTTTACTCGAAGATATTGTAAGATATCATTGAGGAAGACAGTACAAAGGATAATATATATGCAATATTACATCCCAAACTATCTAGAAATGAGTATCAAGTTAAAATTTAAAAAGGACATACATTCATTTAGATTTTTAGTAGCTGTAATTTAAAAATTAAATTAAATTATCAACTACTTATAATTGATCTATAAGTTTTCAGCTATTTTCTTGGTGACTCAAAGAAATTTATTTGCAATACATAGGGAAAAATGCATATCTTACTTTACTTTGTTTTAACGATAAGGGTTCTTGTGGATCTTAGAATAACCCTGTATCACGACGACACACATCTATATGTGTGTCAAAAAATGCTAAAATATCACTTACATAAGTCAAATTGAATTTCAGCAGGGACAAGAAGTTTGTTGTAAATACATACTATATAAAGTAATAAAAAAGTCACCCCATTTTAGACATTCTTTTAATCTCGTATAAGTATTTCTTATTCCTTAAACAATTTATTGAGCATATCTATTTATTGTTAGCTTCTTCAATTTATAACCATACTGTTATCACTCTCATACCTTACGTTAATCCGACGATCAAACTGCTCCCGGAACAGGAATCTGTTGCCTTTACCAAACATTATTCATTGGCCAATAATTTCCATGAAATTGCCTCTTTATTATATTAAAATCTTATCTTCGTACCTCATTATTAAAATTCAATTTTCTCCCAATCGAGAACTAATCAACACAAGAAGTATGCGAGCTATTACTTCGTAAAACATCTATCACCATGAAATAATGATTTACTTTATTCGTTCTTTCTCTATTTTTAATTTGTTAATTTTTTTTTTGTTGCATCGTAAATCCATCCGATTTTAAACGATCATTAAGGCATGCAGTATCTAAAACAGGCAGGGTGGTAAAAGTGATTAATATATTTTAGTACTTGACTGCTAAACTTTTACGCCACGGGATTCCTGTTCACTTGTCAACACGAAATACCTTTATTTTCGCTGAGGTTTTTATGGCACCGAAAGCGAAGGTAGGACGGCGGGTGGTCCAAATTTTTCAATGGATTGTCAGTAGCTGCTCCAGAGGTACCGTATGGTGTTATAAAACTTAGAAGCCGGACAATAAATTCTAGGTATAAAACACCTTTTGCTGTCTTAAGAAAACGGTTGTTATTATGAATTATATCCATTCGATATTAAAAAAACGCCAGCATGCTTAATGAACTGATGGAATTATGAAATTATCTGGAATGTATTAGTCACTAAATTGTATTATTATAAGTAGCAGACTATTAAAATGTTTACATATAAAGATCTCGCGGCTACTAATAAATTTCCAATGGTTTTCATGGTAAACATAAATATATCAAGTTTTCCACCAACCAAATAAGATATATACCTACTTAATTGTAAAACTAATTTAGTCTTTTAAAAATCATTAAATTGTAAAAGTCAGATTAAATACATACAGATGGACTAGATTACATTTTCCTGTGAGCAATTTTTAAGAAACAGATATTTTGATCAAAAGATAAATAATCCCTTCAGTGTTGATCTGTTTTTTGAGGTTGTAAGTAAACAGGGAGGTACTACTATCTAAAAATAAAAATATCAGGATTAACATGTATCTCATGATTAGTACCAATCTATCCTAAAAAGTTAATTCAGATATCTCTTCGGATCCAATTCAGTTTGCTTCAGCCTTTGTAAAACAAATTGATTGTGGTTATCCTTTTTTTCAATTCATTTTAGTAGTGTTAACTGTCTCAAAAGTCGATAGTGTTGTATGCAATTGGTTTTTATCTAATTATCTTAATTTCTGCGAGAAATTCCCATGATAGGTAAACGATTAGGTACTTCCGAAAAATTGAACTGAATTTTTGCAGGCATCAATCAGATTAAAGCTTTTTTATGATCCTGTTAATCAGTATAAGAAAGTGTATTAGATTTAGTATAGAGTATTAAGTTCAAAGTAAACAAGAGACGTAGCAGCTTTTTAATACGATATCGTCCTGTAGACTTCAAGGTGCTCGTATATTTATCTATGTACCTTTCAGAGGTAGAACTTTTTCAAATATCAAAATAGGTGTTTGATTAATTACCCCAAAGAGTATAAATACCAGGTTCCAAGTAAATCTGGCCAAAAACAAAAATGTTCCATGCATACCTTTCCAACCCTTTTCACTCCATTAGGGGTCTAATTTCGAAATATTCTTCCTTATTGCATGTACACATCAATCACATCAAGCACATCTATGCGAAAAATTTCAGCTATATCAGACAATATCAAAACATCTAAATTTAACCTAGACTTTTTTCATATAAAAATACCATCCAAATTTCCGAGTTTTCCCACGTATTATCCAAAAATTTTCTTTCATACAAACCTTGCCTTCTAAATTACAAACATACGAAAAAAGAAATCATCTAAATCGTTTGAACCCCTTTCAAATTATGCTTTGTCATACGTTTGGCAATTTCCCAGAATTGACAGCTAAGAACAATTTAAATGTGATGTGGTTTTTACGTTTGGTTGTCCAATTTTTCCAATTTTTCTCTTCATAAGAACCTTTCTCGTATTTCAAGGAATATTTAAAAAAAAATTTAGCCTAATTAGGTCGAGCCATTCTCGAGTTTTGCGCTTATCAACACAATTAGCCATTCATTTTTATTTATATAGTATAAGTATCAAAGTAAACAAGAGACGTAGCAGCTTTTTAATACGATATCATCCTGTAGACTTCAAGGTGCTCGTATGTATGTCATGCATGAATGGAATAGGCATCGGCAATTTAAAGTTGCCTCCTTTTGGTACATTCAAACGTAACTCATCATTCGTTATGGTTCTTATTCCGATAGAATGGACTGAGTGATATCCTTGGAATGAGCTGTCACTGCTTCCTGACGCGATGCTCTTTACTGACATCAGGATGCAGCTGCACTTCACTCATTGTTTGCTAATCTGCGTAACTACTTACCGATAATAGGTGCCATTAAGAAAGTGTTGAGAAAATTGCCGGAACGTTGGTGGCCATTTTTTCTATTTATTCTATTCCGAGGAGTCATTAAAGATTTACGCGCAAATTGAAGATTATTATTTTAAACTGTTTTAACTAATTGAAGTAGGTACATTTACAAGGTGAATCAATTTAGAAATCCTTTTATGAGAAGAGCGTTAAATGAAAAAATAAAATTATCGTCGAATCACGAAGTAATAATTTCTTGAAAACAATTTAGATATATGAAGTTACTAGCTTTTCCACGCGGCTTCGCTAGCTTCTCCATAAAACCCCCATTCACTCCTCCAAACTTTTAATTTTGTCTAATGTCGCCATTTTAGATTTCAAATACAAACATTTTTCATTTTGCCCTTTAAAGGTTGATTAACTTTATCAATAAGTACTAAGAGCAACCTTCCAGTAAATCCAACCCAAAATATATCCCTTACAAATGTTGCAATCCCTTTTTGTCCCCTTTTAGAGGTTAAATTTTTTAAAATGTCGAAATAGGTTTTTGATTAATTACCCCAAAGAGCATAAATACCAAATTTCAAGTAAATCTGACCAAAAACAAAAATATTTCATGCAAACCTTTCCAACCCTATTCACTCCCTCAGGGGTTTAATTTCGAAATATTCTTCCTTATTGCTTGTACCATCAATCAAATCAAGTACATCTCTGTAAAAAATTTCAGCTATATCAAACAATACTTACCAAAACATCTAAATTTAACCTAGATTTTTTTCATATAAAAATACCATCTAAATTTCCGACTTTTCCCACGTATTATCTAAAAATTTTCTTTCATACAAACCTTGCCTTCTAAATTACAAATATACGAAAAAAGAAATCGGCCAAATCGGTTGAACCGTTCTCAAATTATACTTTGTCATACGTTTGGCAATTCCCAGAACTGACAGCTAAGAACAATTTAAATGTGATGTGGTTTTTACATTTTTTTTCCCAATTTTTCTCTTCATGAGAACCTTTCTCGTACTTCAAGGAATCTTTAAAAAGAAAATTTAGCCTAATTGGTCCAGCCATTCTCGAGTTTACGCTTAGCAACACATTTCATTTTTATTTATATATATTAAAAAGTTTAAAAATCTTTGTGTACATCACACTGTTCAACAGAATATCATGGCATAGTCAACTGTTATAAAATTGGTAACAATAATTACCTAAACAGAGACAATTTTGTTTTGGCGTCAACAGTAAGCAATTTAGTGGGTATATGCAGACATATACAACGTTAATTATGAAAACAAATGAAATTGCTTTCTGTTACCCTTTTTAAATAATGTTTTT